GGGGTCCCAACTATGAAAAAGATGGAAATGTGTTTAAAAGGGTATTAAAGGAAAACAAATAATACTGGTAAGATAAGTATTATTTCATTCTTAATCAAGAGATTTTGAGTTCAAATTTCCTTGGGTACTAAATTGTCTTTGTTAAGGAGTGTTTTACCCCTATGAAACTTTTCGGTGCAAATTCAGATTTAGTCGGTCTCCAATGTACTAGACATCGGATGGTAAACCAAAAACAAATAATGAATGCAAATCCTATATAAAATAATCCTTTAAGAAAATGTTGCATTTCAAATTTTGAACAACATTTCATAAATTTAGATGTTCTAATTTTAACTCTGACAGATAAGAGCTCTTTGTTACTGCAGGGTCTAGAACAAAAACAAATTAGTATTTTCTTGACGCACCGTTTGGACAATATGAAAAAAAAAAGCAAGTGTTTGAAGTTGAAAAGGAGCATTAGGAAGGCAAAAAAAAGTATTTAGACGTAAATTTTACTTGGATTTTTTTCTTCGAAATTTTGTAAGTAAATCACCATTTCACTTGAAATGGCCCTTAAATTTTTTGAAACTAGAATTGAGAAGCAAAATACAAAAAAAAAAAAAAAACTATCGTTTGATTTGTAAAATATTATTTCATTATTTGCAAATAATTAGTGTATATGTACCAAAGGCAACAATATGTTTGGCTTGCACTTTTTACGTACCTGGGTTATCATTTAGTGAATCGATTGTATATTAATTAGCCATCCATTATATTTGAAACAAATTTGTATTTGCTCACTTTAGCATGTCTAGAAAAGGACAAAAAAAATAATGTTTAATTCTTAGCATTAACTATTCATTACAAAACTATTTTCAAGTCTATTAAAGATTACTATGTAGTAACTAGTATGAGTATCATAGTTAAATATACATTTCATTTATTATTCGGAGTTTGCTAAATCCATTAAACAAGTAAATGTAAATGGGGGGAGTACTTCTTATACTATATGCTTGGCGTATGCATCTTAAGGGATCATTTGATACATGAACTACATAATTATCTTAATATAATAGTCTTGCATTTATTCTTAGACTAAATTTGAAATAAATAATTTCAAGCTGATGTAATAAGGTGGAATATCTCAGGATTAATCCTAAGATTAAATTTATATTGTATTTGATTGACGGGATAAATTTATACCGTCATCAAACACAATATAAATTTTATCTCATAATTAATTCTAAAATATCCCACCTTATTCCACATACAAGAATGTTAGTCAATGACACAATGTGTTGGGAGTTAGAAAAGTTGATCCGATTAATTTGATGAAGTCGATTTCGAGATAATTTTGAACATTGAACATCATTTTATGAAGTTAAGAAAATACATTAAAATATAAAGGCAAACGTGCATCGATAGAAAACAAGGCAAGTTGTTGCTACACCTAATAATAGTCGGCTGGAACGTGTTTTGAGAGAAATAAATTAGTATTCGCTCAATTTATTTGAAAAAATATATTAGATTGTTGTGTTTCATTTGAAAACAGTTGCTGATTAGGTGAATTATGGTTTAAAAAAAATCAGCAAATTTGATTTGACTTGCTAAACTATGGATAACACTAATATAGCAGCCTTAACGATACACCAATTTGTGCAATAGTTTGAAGAGCCACTTGTTGATGAATAGTATAAATTAAAAATAGAGAACAATAAGATCAACCGCTCTCGATTTGGCTGATCCGATTAGTTTGAAAATTTAAGATTGAATATCTAAAGACCTTTCTAAATTAGGTGCGCTTTATTCAAACTTCTCTTAAATTATACTTCTTTTGTCTACTTTTAATTTTTAAAGTCAAATAATAAAAATTTTGACTAACATTTTACGATATATTTTTTCATCATACTGATATGTAAAAAATTGCAATTTATAGTACTATTGAATATCTTTTTTTATTTATTTAAAAAAATTAATTTTGAAAATTAATCAAATTGACATTTGAAAATGGTGATTTTTGTTATCTTGGTAATCTTCTATGGTCACTTCTCTCAGCTTCACATTGTTAATTTCCAAACAATTGATCCCATAAAATGTCTTTAGTTCCAAACTAGGGCAACCAGCTAATACTTTTTTTTTTTAATAGAACCATCTGTCAATTCAAATCCTCAAGTGAAAGAGAAATCAAATTACTCCAAGTAACAGTAACTGGCATTTGCTTAAAACCAAATTCCTGTATTCTTATATCATATTCTTGTGAGTCTTCATAATTGTGAAATACATGAGTAAAACCTTCAACATTAGCATCGCTAATTGCAAAATGTACACATAAATCAACATCTTTAAGAAGATTCTTCAGGTAACCAAATAAAAAAACCCTGAATGTTGAGATTTTTTTGAAATACCTCCAGCAATAAATTAATGGTCTCTTTCACCTCCAAATATGATAAATTTGGCATGCGGAATTATTAGTTTTATCCATAAATTATTTTCAGCTTTAATAATATTTTTTTGCTTAGCTAACTGAACTTAAATACACTCCCATTTCTGCAACATGAGTGAAATACACCCTTAAATTCATGTTTTGTTTAAGAATGTTTTTAACACTTCTCCCAACTTTTTATTAATAGTTTCATGTTTCTACAAAAGTTTGAAGACCACTTGTTATGTCATGTGGCAGATCTGTGTATATCTAAGTTTAGTTAGTCAAGTAAATGAGTGTTTTTTAGGCTATCAATAATTCAATAATTTGTGTCAAGTTTAAGGTGTTTTCATTACTTCTCTTTAGGGCTGTTCAAAATTGAACCGAAACCGATAACCCGAACAAAAAAAAAAGTTATTGATTTATCAATAATAGGTTATTGGATTAGCGGTTTTGATAATGATTTTGATTTTTTTTCTCTTAACGGGTTAACCGATAATCCGATAGTATATTAAATAATTATAGTTATATACCATTTTGTGTATAAAGTCCTTGACTTGGAGTTAAGTTTCATACTTTTATTTTTGGTTGTCTCAAACTCTTGGTTATTCTATAATGTAAAAGTGTTTGTTTTTTAGCAAAATGCAATCTGTGAACTCATGTACATGGTTCATTTGATTTGTCACTTTGTTTCTGAGTGATTTTCAATGATTATCTTTTATGTCAAATCTTAACAGTTAAACCAATAACCGAACCAATAACGATCAATAACCGATAAGATTATATCTTAATGGTTCTATAACGGTTTTAGCATGTCAACAAATCGATAACCAATAAGTCAAACCAATAAACTCCAAAATCGAACCGAACCGACCAATACGCAGCCCTACTTCTCTTATTAAAAATTTCAGCTTTTCACTCACTATCAAGAGAAGCTAGAGGGAACCTTAAGGTTTGACAAGTGGAGCTCTCTTCCTTCAAAATTCAAAATAAAGCCCAAAGCTAACCTTCAATAATGTAACAAGATGAACTTCTAGATTCGATCATTTGTGAACACACATGTTAGAAGCTATCGTTGTAAACCTCGAAGTACTTAGGTTAGTTCCTATTTCACGTTGTAGATAGGAATTGTCATTTTATACAAAAACTCACTCATTGCATACACATTAAGGTTTATCTCCGAAATCATAAAGTCTTAAGTTCAAATTTCAATAGATGCAAAAACATTACTCGAGCAGTGTTATCAAGTTCTAGTGCTAGTGGGAGATAAGCAGAGTTATCAGGTACTAGTACTAGTGGAAGATAACAGAAATCCGATGCAAAGTTAAAGGGTGCACAAGCTGAGCCTAGTGTCACGTCCCGCCACTTCGCAGTAAAATTTGGCGTCCGGATAGGGGCGGAAGGGTCTAGAGTTGTGGAGAGGTTTCCGGAAAACTCTAGAACCCTCTAGATTATTCAAGAAGGCTAGAGAATTCCCTAGAATTCTCTAGAAATGACTTAGAAGGCAATGGAAGGTCCTAGAGTATGTAGAAAGTTCTAGAGCTAGGACCAAAGTGTAAATAAGTTTAGGGACTTAGAAAGTAATTTAAAATTGTACTTTAGTCCCTAGGAGTTAGTATAAATAGAGGTGCCACCATTTGCAAAGGCACCACCCAAGCTAGAAGTAACAAACCAAGTGTAAAGCAATCTTCCAAAGCAATATAAGCCTTCTTCCAAAATTCTCTAAGTCTTCCTTTTCATTTCCTTAGCGATCTTAGTGAAAAGGGCTTACTTGAGCTTACAA